GAGTTGAAGTCCACTCATCTTAAAGTGGCCAAGTTTGGACAACACTGTTCTAGAAAGTCTACATGTTTTACTAAACTTTTCACCAGTTCACAGGATCTGACTTCCAGTCCTTTCTCATCCTGTATTATATGGTCATTTTATCTTAATCCTTCAAATTCTGTGGTATTTGAGTTATAGGATAAATGGTCAGAGGAAAACGGTTTACAAGAAAGAAAATTCTAAAATTCTTGCTTACTTATATAGAATATTATAAGAGTAGATGTTCTAAATAAATTGTGGGCTGCTCTTTTAAGATCATGCTGTGTTCTGAGTTTGAAGTTACTCCATGCTGGTGGGCCCCAACTTGGGAAAAGTTGTGTTACAAAATTAAGGTCATATAGCTAAATAAAACTCAAATGCCAACTGTGTGTTTTTCTTAATCCCACCCCTCCTTTAACTCATTTCTCTTCTTTCTTTCTTTCCTCCTCTTCCCCCTTTTTTCAGATGATCATTTGTGCCCTAAGATGGCATACTTTATTTTTGCTGCTTATTTACTGGTTTTAGATCCTTGGGATTTTCTGGGAGACTTACTCTGTGGTTATGCTTGACATAATTTTTTCATAAAAGAAAAAAAAATGCAGGAGAAAGTTGCCTAATCACATGATCAATGAGTTGTTCATGCCTATTTAGCACCTGTATTGGTTTAGCTTGCTCCATCTGTCAGAAAGATAATGAAAGGCATTAACTAAGATTGGTGCGAAGCAACATTGTGAAAAAAGTTATTAGTGGCTGCAGATGTCATTTCTAGGCCTGCCAGGCAGAATTCATTGTGGCATTGCAATTATCTGTGTTGTGACTTGGGAGGGCACAAGTTCTCCCTGAAAAATACAGATTTGAGAACTCCTAAAGGGATATAAATCAAAAGGTTAGAAAGGCTGCCTCATCAGATGTGAAGAAGCTTTTAAAATAGGTTTGGATTGAGCAAGCACTGCTGGATGTCCACTCACACTGATATCAAGTAGGAAGGGAAAGCAGATAATTTAACACCCTTTCCACATCAGGATTGTTCTTTTCCTTTTCCTAATATTAGTGATAAAACAACAGCAGTCTCTCCATCTCCCCCTCCCGTTACTGCCACCTGAGCTCTGATGCAACTACTAATAGGACCCTGAGAGTATGTGCTGGGGAGGGAGGGAGGGGAGGGGGGGGGAGGGAGGGGGAAAAAAAAAACATTCCCTTGCTAGAAATCAGCTGCAGGGAGATAAAAGCCCATCCCCCAGCAATGATATATACAGGAACACACACTCACACATCTGATTCCCTACAGGTGATGTTTTTCCCAAGTACAAGTTACTGGAGATACTGAATTGCACTAAGGAAAATTTGTCAGGGGTGGCCAGTAGCCACTCATAGGTTATATAGTGCTGAATCCAGAGTCTTACCAAAACTGCTAGAGGGTCTCCATGGTTTTCCATGGTAGAGGGAGAAGTTCTAGATTAACCACTTAAAATATATTTAGATCAGAATGCATTTAGGTGTATTCAAATGGAAAAGCCATTGGGACTATTCTGGTTTCCAGTGATTCTATGAAAAATAAACCATAGCAAAAATGGATTTCTGTTTATTCAGATACCTCCAGCCTGTTACAACAGGCAAAGTGTAATGCTAACTAATACTGGCAAGAAAACAATATTATAATGATGCACATTTTCTAAGCTTGCAAGATTGATCTGTTGCTATGATTAAAACCCTTTTAAATTTAAAGTAGTTATGAAGCTCCTTAGATTTAGGAAAAAAAAGTTTCAGAATTTGCTGAGGGGTATCATTATTTCTAAGCAATTCGTTTTTTTCTTTCAAATATGAAGTGTGGAAATAAAGAATAATAAGGCAAGAGGCTGGACCTAATACTTACATATGTAAACTTTTTTTCCCCCTGATAATAAGAATGATGACTGCTCCAGTCATGATAAAAGTTAAGGTCAATTGGTCTTGGTGGCAAGTAGATGACAGAACAATCAAGGCTGCAAGAATTTGGATAATATAAAGGACAGTCTGATGAATACAAAATAAAATGGCTACATTATGAACTATCATTGTAAATATCAACCAAGATGAATGATCCATCTTGTATTGACTGGGAGGGAGTAGATGAATCCCTTCCCAATCAAGATATACAAGGAAAGACTTGGAAGGAGATCTTCTGTAATTTTATTTACATTTTTCTTTTCCTTGTCCCTCCATGATTATCTTTGTTCATAAGTTATCTTGCATTTTGTCAAGCAGTTGATCAAACCTTTCCATTTTCAGAATGGAGGGTTGATCTTCTGGAAAATGCTGTTTGAATTGCAGTTATAGATATCATCTCTTCATGTATGTTTTATTCCATTTGTATCCAACCTACTGAATCTACTGTTTGCATTTGTGATTTAACTATGTGACTTTGTCTCTGTAATTCTGTTCTAAGAAACATGCTAAAAGGAAACAACTTGGCTTATCTTCCTGGTTAATACTGTGGCAAAATGTATGAACAGTTAAATCACTGAATCTTGACTTTTGGTAGTTAAATTGTCTCTTCAGTATTATTTCTGAGCTGGTGAAAAATACCATTAGAGCTCACTTCCCTTTCTCTGGAGTCATGCAGCTGTGAAATGGGTTGAGTGCTTCACTCTACTTTTTTTTTTTTTTTTACTAGTTCAAGCATTAGCTTTAAAGATCAAGTGCCAACAAGGTTCACATTATTTGAAATAATAGGCACGGTGCTTTTGTTTGCAGGGTTTTTCTTGTGACCTTCAGTTGTATTTATTGCCAATTTGCTTTAAATAGTTTTCTTCAGTTGTTTTCAGTTGCATGAATTTCCTCATTTCTCTTAATAGAATGATTAATGTCAGCAATTTTGCCCTCCCCTAAATGAGCCATGGGACTGGATTTAAAGTGGTTATATTTATTGGATTGCAGATTGTAAAAGACAAGGGGGAAAGAAAGTGTGTATTACTCAGCAATAACATATCTGAGTTTAATTACTAACAGAAAATTTGGTACTGAGTACCATGTCATTTTACAAATATGTCCTTAAAAACATGAGGCTGCAATCTGCAATAGTGGAATATAGTATAATTACATATAGATTCCATCTGGGTGGAGGACTAGTTGATACATTCTACTAATTGTTGCTAATTTTCTTTCAGTGAAACGCTTCAGAGAACCAAAGCATGAAAGACGTCCTTGGAGGATTTGGTAAATGTCTACTGTTTTTGCAGGTTGGGAGTAATTAATTACAAAAGTTGTAATATGACAGACAATTATGCACAGACAATGATTTCTATAAATATTAACTATTCACTCTATCTTTTGTAAAGGAGCGGATCCTGTCAAAGTGTCATAGCCAGTTATCATTATCTATAAGTAACAGAAACTTAAGATAAAAGCAGCAGATTATGTTATTGGCAATATAGGTTCCCTTCTTTGTTCAGCCATAAAAAAAAAAATTGTCTTGCTTCCAAAAGGCAGTTGAAAGTTTTGCCAGCCATTACAGTAATGTTCTTCGTTATTAAACCTAAAACTTCATACTTTTTCCTGGTTGTAATTCTACAAGAATATTGTGAAGCATAAGGTCCAAGAGAACTTCCATATGGTACACCTATTATTTTTACCGTGTTCAGGACTTGATGACCTTGGTATGGTTGACATTGGACTACCTGATACCGCCTGTCCAATATTCCCTGGCTAAGGAAGAAATATAAAGAATATGGGGGAGCAGAGGAAGGGCACAGTGCTTTCGTTTGCAGGGTTTTTCTTGTGACCTTCGGTTGTATGTCCTGAACGTGGTAAAAATAATAGGTGTACCATATGGAAGTTATCAATATGGTGATAATAACATGAAGTATGAAATTTGCAATACTCTTGAATTAGTAGCTAAGCTGTAGGTATAAATTAATGGTAATGACTTATAACGACTCAGATGTTAGGACAGTTTTCCAATATTAAAAGAGAAGCCTGTGGAGATAAAGAGGCTTCCAGTTTTGTGAAGCGGTATGATGAAGGCTATATCAATAATCCATGAATAATTTGTGGCAAACTCAATACATTTGTTGGAAACAGGGTTAGTCTAACTCAATTGAGTTTGGCCCCTGGGTCTTAGAATAATGAGAAGTGTATTGTACTCAAATGTTTAATTACCTGGCATATGCTGTTGTGGATTAATGATACTAGCCCTTTCAATCAAGAAATTTGCAAGAACTTCAGAAGTGAATACTATTGAAAGAGAAATATGTCTTGCTTTCAAAAGGCCATCAAAAGCTTTGCAAGCTTCTATATCAGTATAATGCCCTCTCACAGCTAAACCTGAAACTTTGTACCTTTTCTTGCTTCTTATTCTAGAACAAAACTGTCTGTAAGTTCAGCCAAGTTGTGGATGAGGGGCGGCTCTAGAAATGTAAATTATAACTAAATAAATTAAAATATGCAGTTAAGTGTTTGATGTCATGTCTAAAAACTTAATTTTGTAGGTTTTTGGATACATCCAAACAAGCCATAGGGATGATGTTCATCCATTTTGCCAATGTGTATTTATCAGACCTTACTGAAGAGGATCCCTGTTCACTGTAAGTGGAAAACAATCTTATTGAATTTCAACTAGCAAGAATTACCAAGATGTGCACTGAGTTTTATTTTTCAAAAACTGCATAGGATGTTAGGCAATTGTTATCATAGATGGACTGGCTAGACATGATTTGGGACCAAAAACAAAAACAAACCCTATCACTTCAATGCTGAAGAAAATAATGCATGATCCTATGTCATTTGAATTTCTTTAACCCTCCTCCTTTTCTTTTTCTTTCTATCTTTTACTTCTTTAGTCATGGTGGGGAACTGACTGGTACCCTCTAGAAAGAACCTTAGGACTTTTCTCCCTGCTCCCCTGCTGTTGTACATATAATCTTTTTTCCTTTTTAACCCAGAGCCAACTTTCCTTTCATCTCTGGGTGATGTTTTAGGCTACAGGAGCGCTACGCTATTAAGTTTTAGGCTCAGAGTTTACAAGCAGCATTGAGTTTTAGATAGACAAATTTTACCTTTGAAATACAGCAGATAGCTGGTACTCAGTTGTCAAAATAGTTGGCCATTTGTAGCCAGCCTTAGCTAATTTTGTAAAAGCTAAACAAGGTCAGACCTGATTTGCTCTTGGATGGGAGTCCATCAAAAAATCCAAGGCTTGTAGGCTAGACTGGGAAATCGGGAAAAAAAAAAAATCCCAGATGAAGTTAGTAGCAACCCATTTCCATATTTTTACCAGGAAAACTTTATTGATGGGTCCACAAAATCACCCAGACTCAAGGGAGCTTTTATCATTTATATTTAGCCTGGCCTTCAAATCAAGTAGTTGATCAATATCTACATAATACAGAAAAGCATCAGGCTGTTGCTTTGATGCTGTAATTTATGAATAAATTAATATTAAAATTAGAACAGTATACTATGTTCCATTGTCAAGTGACATATACCACAAAAACTGACTGACAGGTAGTCAACTGTAGAGCAATTGCCCACTTTTGTATTAGCTGAAGCAACAGTGACCTCTGCTGGCCTTTTATGTAATATTTGATCAAATTATTCTAGCTGCTCAGTCCTATAGGCTTTCATATGCTAATAACAGATTTTAAAAAAAATGTAAAATGCTTATTTTTCCTTTGTGCTATATTTTGTGTACCCAAGCATCTGTGAATTAATTAAACAGGAATTTTTATTTTTGCATTTTTAAACTGCTGTTTCTCCAGGGTAGTGCAGTTTCCTTTCCAATTTTTACTCATGCAGTTGCTCCACGTGGTAGGTTATCTGATCAGCTTTATGGCTGAGCAGAGTTCTGAATCTAGATTGTGCTGGTCCTACTGCCATATGCTAATTACTAGGTCCCATTTGTCTCTGTGTGTGTCCATGCTACGCTAGCATTAAAAACTGTGTTTAAAAAATATTACTGCCTCTATTTTAAATGTAGCAGAGAATAATATCTGTGTGTATATTAGAAGCTACAGTTTTTATATTAAAGGAAAAAAGCTCAGATTAACTTCCTTTTTCAGTTAGACCATTTCCATCTCAGTGGTTTTTGCTGTCTCAGTTTTGTAACTTTATGAAGTACAGGTAGTCCTCACTATCCAACCATTTGTTCAGTGACTGTTTGAAGTTATGACGGCACTGAACGAAGGGACTTATGACCTGACCCGAAGTTACAGAGATCTGGGCCCTTGGCAATTGGTTTGCCCTTATGACAGGTTGCCAAACTCCCTGCGATCATGTGATCACCATTTGCAATCTTCATGCTGCCTGCCAGGAAAGTGGCTGGCAGGGAAGGTCACAAGCCACTGCTGCCTGCCAAGAGGACTCCCTCTTGTCTCTAAGGGCTGCCTGATTTTGGCACAGGGCATTTTCAGGCAGCCCTGAAAACGGCTTCTCATGGGGCTTTGTGGGCTGCCTGAAAAAGCTTTGTGTTGAAAATCCAAGCAGGATTTTCAGCCATGGAGGATGGGAGAGGGAGTGAGGGGGTGTATGGGAGGGTCAGGTCGGGTGCATGAAAGTGTGGTACAGGCCCCCATGCACCCAACCTGCACCAGTCCCGCCCCTCCCATGCAGCCCCATGCACTCCCTCACTCCCTCTCGCACCTGGCAGCACCTGGGGCTTGCAGCTTCCTGCCGGCTTCCCCACTGACTTGATTGTGGGAAGCCTGCAGGAAGTTGCCTCACCTAATGACCGGGGCATTTACTTAACGACAGCAACTGGGACTGCCAGGATTGTGGTCGCTAAATGATGTTTTCATGTGATATTTCACCTAACAACTGCATCACTTAGTGACCAAGTTCTGGTCCCAATTATGGTCAAATAGCGAGGACTACCTGTGTATATTAAAGATCCTTAGTAGCTGATCCTGTTGCCAGAGCAGTTTAAATAAGCTGAAAGAATAATATGCTGTAGAAGATTACCTTCTAATTCCATACTTAAATTGAAAGTAAAGGAGGTCCTTTACCTGTATGTATAGAAGTGCCTGATGATGATGATGATGATGATGATGTTTTTATTGCTCAGATTAGAAAATGGGAGTGCACTCTAGAAAGCTGAAAATGAATGATGATAGATGGGGATTTCAATAATCAAAGCTACACATTTTTAAGAAAAGCCAGTCTTCAAATTTGTGTGTGCTTTTCTTGACCTTTCAGATATCTTATCAACTTTTTGCTAGATGCCACCTTAGGAATGCTGCTAATTTATGCTGGTGTCCGAGCAGTAAGCAGTGTTGTTGAACGGCAGCAATGGGAATCTCTTCGTTTTGGCGAATATGGTAAAAACATTTATTACTCTTTGAAATAACTCTTTAGGTGGCATGCTGTTCCAAATACAGGGATGACAGTCATTTCTGTAATTGGTATTTTGAGCTACAGGTATTTGAGCACTATAAATGGCCAAATCTTAAAATACATGAAATTCCGAACATTCTAAGTAGGAACACATATATATGTATTGTCCAAGTCTGATGGGCCAGTGCAGTTATTTTTGTTTTAATTTCTAGTTTTGAAACTTGAAAACCTTGTCAGATACTTCTTTCTTTTACTTCTCCACTCTGATGAATGCTGATAGCAATAATAATAATACCATCACTATATGTGATACAAGAAAGAGCAAGTTTCAGAGTGATATGAACCTCCATCTTTTCCTTTACTTCAGCATTAAAAATATTTAATGTCTAACCATAAATCTAAATTGAATTCTTTATTAGCCATCTCCAAAATACCCTTACAAGCCGCCAGAGATTAAAGTAATATGTGTGTTTCCCAGCCAAGCTGCTAATCTTGAGCTTATGCATATTTGTGCTCCACTCATTGTATAAAGGTAAGATCTCATTTGGTATAAAACTAAATCAAAATGAATGAGGATGGTACACATCAAAAGCAATGCACTGGTGCTGGCAGCTGCAAGTGCGATACACAAACAGCCCGGTGTATTCCCCATTGTGTGCCTGCTTACTCTCTTGAAATCCCTTCCTCTCTAGTCTCTCTGCTCTGCAAGGAGGGGCAAGAAAAAAACAGGTCAGGCATAGGACAACGTGTACTGACTCTAATGGCAATCATGTGACTGAAGGACACTGTGAAAAGGTCATAAATGTGGGCATTGGTCATAAAGTTATTTTTTCAGCACCATCATAACTTTGAATGGGCACTGAACGAGGTAGTCGGTAAGCAAGGTCTACCTGTATAAATCTGTCCATTCATATCAATGGCAAAGGAATGGATATAAAAGTATGACTGATTTGATAGTCTGCAATGAGAGAATTAGTGAAAGATACAACGGTGTGAGAGATTTTGCATGTGGGACAGACCATTATTTGGTAGTGTCAAGAGAGAATCTTGGGGAAAAAAGGGCATGGAAGAAAAGGAAAGAAGTGAAAGAAGCTAAAGTGAAACAACTACAGGAAGAGGAAGTACAAGTCCTGTATGAACGAGCCGGATAATCTCTCAACAGAACAAATAGAAAGTAGATATAAGGAAAGGAAAATGTGGAAGCTGCTTTGAATAGAGTGAAAAGCATTATGTTACAGAGTGGAGCGGAAGTGTATAGACTTATGCTGATGGAAAGTATGAAAAAGGATGCTTTTGGAATGATGAAATGGAAGAAGCTGTGGATGAGAAAAGTGCATTCAAGAATATGGCAGGGCTGTAAAGGAGTCGGCACATAAAACCTTCAACTCTGATTCTGACTCCTTTATTCATGGTACCCCCAACTCCAGCTCATTTAATTATATATTGGTATAGGAAATAAATTATAAATATACTAATTATATCTTTCCTATATCGACTGCAAGCCCCCAACATACAAGGCATTTAATCACTGCCAACATGAATCAGCAGGCAACTTTTTAGAACCCTAACCTGTTAAAGCTGGGATCTAAAGGCTATAGCTAAGACATTCTGATTTTTTAAAATTTTTATTTATTAAAGAAATTACGAACAGTCAGTAACCTTATAGTTTAAACAAAGGATAAAAGCTAAAAAATAAAAACAATGAGG